TATATATATATACCTATTATTATATATATATGCGTTTGTGCTAAGTATAAATATGTGTAAGTATGTATGTGTGAGTTTGCGTTTGAATTGCGCATTAATTTGGAGACGTGTGCAGCCACATGCACATGGCCAGCTATGCGCGTGTGCGTTTATGCGTGTGCATATAGACTGGACATTAATTCGTATACATATTTTGCCATTTGAAATTCTATTGTAAGGTATGTGAGTGCGTATTTCCTTATGTGCGTATAAGTACATACGTACATATGTATTTTAATAAATTCTATATGCACGAATCTCTTCTCGATAATTATGCCCACATTGCAGAAGCTACATATTTAGAGTAGGCTCCTGCTCTTTATTGCTCCCTTCGACTGTTACTATAAATTTGCAGTTGCTTTTGCATTTTGAACAGCTCGTAGGGCGCCGCCTATGAATTGGCATTGGGAACAGTCTCTTCACTGCTCACTTGAAATCATAATGTTGAAATGTATGTACATACCAAAGCACAAGGCTTTAGTAGTTGAGAAACGTTTTTTCAAATTGGGAGCGAAGGGGGCGTGGTATCCAAAATCTGTAGGTTACAAAATGTATTTATCATATGTACATACACAGTAGATCTTAAGTCTTCAGGTCTAAAAATGTCCAAATGAGGCTAAAAAAACAAAATCATTCTTTCGATTATTCTCGATAGTCAAATTATCGAATGATTTATCGAAAAAATGATAAGCTCGTACTGTGTATGGTATACATAAGTATGCATGCCAAATTTCAGCTCTATAGCTTTTGTTTTGAGATCGACGCACTCATACGGACGGACGGATGGACGGACGGACAGGGCTATATCGACTCAGCTCGTCGTCCTAATCAAGAATATACTTTACGGGGTCTGCAATGATTCCTTCTGTCCGTTACATACTTTTTCACAAAACCATTATACCCTGATATCCTATTTTCAATGGGTTCAGGGTATAAAAACTACAATGGCTGTGTGTAAATGCTTATGTACACATGTATGTCCATGTATTATGTATTTCACAGAAAATGCCATATAAATATCAAAAATTTGTACTTGATACAAAATAATACACGAAAAGATATGTATGTACATTCCATTTCGACACACATGATTCATGTACCAAATATAAATTATATATAATCGCAGTAAATACATGGATATACATATGTATATGCCTTTCAAAAAGAAAATATGTTTATTATATACATAATTATGTTGGAGCTGGGGATCCCAACTAACTGGAATGGACTTCTACAAACGAAGAAGGATGGTATGGGAGGGGGGAATTGTTTGATTGCAATTTGTTGGGCACAATTAATTTGCGATGCAAGGCGACCATTTTGGTTGAATTTAGCTGCACTTCCTGCCTACCAACAACTATGCACAATGAGCGACGCCATCTTGTGTGTTGCAAGGGTGTGCAGAGCAGGGACTTTGGTTGAGGGTGGAGGTGTCAGTTCTTACTGCAAGCGTCGACCCCTTGCGGGTAGACATAGGCCGTGTCGAGTAGAACTCAATATATACATATGTGTAAGGGTGGGTGGATCTATTTTCTCTTCTTACGCCATGTGTTAGTTACGTGTCCTATTCCACTAAGTACTTCTGCGTATAATATAAATACAGATTCTGATTCAGCAACTCTATCGACCCATAAGCCTAATCCAAAA